ATAGTTCATCCGAAGTTGTCATGTTCAATTCAGTTTAGAATCAAAACTCAAGTCTACTAATACTATTATCACATTAATAGTCGATTTAGGGCCATTGAATATAACTTCGGTGTCAAAGATGTATTACTTTTAATATTTAATGATTACATTATCATTAAAAAGAGCTAATTATTTCCTAAAATAAAAATGAGAACCTTTACTAGGATAACCAAAATATGAAATTGAGAACCTTTAGTTGAGACGGAGGAAGTAGTAGCTTTCAAAGTCGTATAATAAACTTAAGTCTACTAATACTACTATCGCATTCAATAGCCGATTTAGGTTGGTGTAGTGACACTCCATTGCCTCAAATTTAAGATGTTACGGATTTGGTAAAGGTTCGTGTAATATAGTATTTTAAGCAAGTGATGTTTGGTTGTCCCGTTTTTTTTTTTAATTTCATTTTAATCAATTAGTTTATGGTTCCTATTATTTCTTTCTTCTTTTCACAAATTTCAATTACATAACTTTTACATAATTATTTTTCATGCCGGTCAACTTGGAACAAATTTTAATGTACGGATGGAGTAATTTTTAAAGACTTTGAATCTATTTAAGTCATTAACTTTGGTTGTTATTTTAACGCAAATAACATTCGAGTACCATTTGCATTTGGAATACGCTTATGTATCTCTAACCATCTCGGCAATATGAGTTTTGGAGGGCATTCGCTTAGTGGGAATTCCCGATTGCCCTTGTGGGAAGTGTAACTGTACACATAAGTAGTAAAAGTGCTTCAATTTTCAATGTACTCCCTCAGTGTCAAAGCTAAAATTTGTTTGCTGGTTGATTTTCACAATTAAATAATGTCATTTAGGTTGTGCTTAAGATTTGTATTTGTTACTTTCTTTATGTTTTTTTGAAAGACGTTCATATCCACATATTGTTTACTTCATAATTCTCTGGTTGAAGCATAAAACATGACATTGATAAAGCTGATTGTCTCATATCACCGTTCATGTCCAAAAAATGTTACGTAGTATTTTTTACACAAGTAATGGGTCATATGACTATTGCAATAGATATCGACATCTTTTTTCAGTAACTCGCTCTTTAGATGTCATGGACCAGAAACGACACAATTAAATACTTTTCTTACGGTCTACGTAGTATAATAAAATTAAAAAGAGAAAATACCCAAAATAGGACTAAAAACGTTTGTATATTTCAAAATAGGACTATCATGTTTTTATTCCCAAAATAGGACTAATTATCTGCCATGTTTTGGCAGTACCAGACTTTAAACATGACATTATTTTCCAAACTTGGCAGTAGTTACTCCTATTTTGGGAATAAAAACATGGCAGTCCTATTTTGGAATTTTCAAACTTTTTTACTCCTACTTCGGGAATTTTCCTAGAAATAATGGCACTAATATTACTTCTCACCTTTTGATCGACAAAATTATGACCCTTTTACATAATTCCACAAAAGTGATCGCCTCTGCGCTTCAGTTGCTTTCAAATTAGGGATTTCATCTTCCTCTTCAGCACACGACTTCTGCACATCTTCTTCCTCCCCCCAGGACTTCCGCACATCTTCCTCTTCCGCCCAGGACTTCCGCACATGACTTCCACACATCTTCCTCTTCCGTCCAGGACTTCCACAAATCTTCGCTCGCAGCTCATCGTCTCCCAACAAACTCTCCGTCATCTCCATCTTCTCCCATCGCCGCCGGGTGCAAATCGCATCTCTTAAATCATTTTCTTCACCTTTCTTCATCTCCATCTCGGATCTGCGACGAGTGGCGGCGGGGAAGTCAAGTGTTGACGGGGTTGGGCGGCATTGGGGCAGATAGGCTGGGGTTGGGGTTGGGAAGCTGTGGGTGGACAGGGTAGCTGGGGAGGGGACAGAAGCTGAGGTAGCGGGGGAGGGGACTGGGTTGGCTGTGGACGGGGCTGTGCAGCTGTGGGGGGGAGCAGGGGATGGGGCTGGGTGCAGGGAGGGGGCTGGAGGTGCAAGGGATGGGCTGGAGGCAGAAAGGGGGTTGGAGGGAGCAGGGGAGGGGGTTGGGCGGCTTGGGGCTGGGGGAGCAAGGGTAGCGACGATGGCCGGGTGTAGCAGGGACAGCAGTGATAGTGGGGTTAAGGGCTGGGTAGGGGGTTGGGGTATGCTGGAAAGGGGGTTGGGGGTCTGTGTAGGAGATGGGATGGGATTGGCGGCCAGTTGTGGCGGCCAGCGGTGGTGGCAGGCGGCAGTGGAAGGGCAGTGCTAGGGTGGGGTTGGCCGGGGACGGGGCTGAGGGACTGTGAGGAGCGGTGGAGGGCGTGTCACTATGGCGATGTCACTCTGGGTGATGGGCGGGCCGTCACTTTGGTCGGAGTCACTTTTGCGGTGTCACTATGGCGGTGTCACTGTGGTGGTGTCGTGGCTGGCAGCGGTGATCGGTGGCGGCGGTGACCGACAATGGCGGCAGTGACATGATATCTTATAGTGATATATAATAGTGACATAACAGTCCGGAGTGACAAAAAATGATAATAACATCATATTTTCCAAAAATGTGACCTTCTTAGTCACATTTTTGTCTTTTTTAAAAATGGTCACATTTTTGGAAATCAGTTTAAATTTAGTAATATTGAAGGAAAAAGCCCATTTTCCTAACTAAAAAAAGAAAACATCTTTTACAGGTGTAAAAAAAAGGAATTAAGACCGCCTGTGTCAAAATTTGCTGATTACATATTTGTCTTGATGCTATCTGAAAATTTTCTTCACCTTTCTAATTAAGGATATTTTGAATTGAAATCAAATTTTTTATCCGATCTATGAAAGAAGAAGTTATTTTTTACTTTAGTGTATATATTAAATATTAACATAAATTTTGATTTATTTTTTGCCGAGAGTTTTATATATAGCAATCATATCATGATACTAAATGTGGTGTTTAAGAGCTAGATAAACAAGCTAGGTTGTGTATAAAGGATAATTCTTTCATTCATGGATGTGACTTTAATATAGTATGATTTGGTCGTAAAATTGAGATCATTTTTCATTCATTAATATATCTTTATTTTTTATTGCATAGTTTTACCCGTTTATGTTTCGGTTATTATATACCACTTGACATGAGAATTTTTTTTATAGATTTAATTCAGCTAACCTTCTAGGTAAAAAGTGCCTAATAAGAATCTAAATCATTTGCATCCTTTCTTAGTTCAATAACACTTATTTTAAATCAATAAAATGAAAAATAAATCCACCGCTACCAATCGGGTTATGCAGCCGACCTATTGTCGCCACCATCACCCTCATTAAAATCAGAATGTCACAAAACTATATATTTTGAAATCTTTTCTTATAAAAGGAGATAGAAGGACTAATTTGCTCAATTCTAAATCCTAGAAGGGCAAATATCTCCAAAAAATGACCACATCCATTATGAAATAAATAAATTACAAAAATGTGTAGTTATTAATTTTAGAAAAACAGTAAGCTACGGATGAAATCTCATGGATAAAAATTGGCATTGAACAATTTCTTTTTTTGTTTAGATAAAGATGATTGAAAAGACGAAGTTCACTTGGAGGCAACAAGAGTTATAAAATTGGCTCATTTAATTGGATAATATAGACTGACAACGTGTTTACATAATTAGTTAGAAATTAAGACATACTCAATAAATAAGAATACACATTATCAACCACTGTTATAATCGACCAAATAAGTGACTTTCCGTTAGTTCTAATAACTCATACATATGTCAGTGCACGCCCATGCGCACATATAGTAAAATTAAAATAAAATTGTTTTATCATGTGCATGACACGGGTAAAGATGCTAGTGTATACTAATAGTAATAATGTGGATATTTGTGTAAAGTCCTTAAATAAATGAATGAACATGATAGTAATTTCATCATAATCCTCAAATTAAGTATGTGAGATATTGAGATGGGAAAAGTGTATACTTCACTCAAGTCTCAACATCTTCCTTAACTCTAGCTTCCAACTAAACAATCCCAATTTCTCTAGTGTTCCAATCCCTTCCTCTTTGATAATCCCTCCAGCTTAAGGAAGCACAAACTAAAAAATTGACAAGTTTTATAATTTGTGCAGAGAAAAATGACATTTATTTATAAATAAATGTATTGATAGTAAAGTATTTGAAGTTTGTGATACTTCAAGTTTCGTTTAAAGCTTAAAAAATATGGCAATTTCAATGTTACTTTTGCTAGAGGTGTTTTTAAAACATTACATGCATTTCACATTTTTCACTACTGTCTAGATTCCGCCTCAGCTTCGGATGTTACAATGTATGATACGGTCTATATGTTATATCTACTCCGAGTGTTAGTTGACTTGCTCCTACCCGTATATTACTACGGAGTAGTACTCCCCCGGTCCCAATTAATAGTTCTCACTTTTCTTTTTGGATTGTTCGAAAAAATACTTCTTACTTTCCATTTTTGAATAATTTGTGTGGCTCACATTCATTTTACTTTTTTTTACACAACTACAATCATACATTTCCACTTTGTTCCATTTTCTTAATAAACGTGTCAGGTCAAACCGGGAAGTATTTTTTGGGATGGGGTAGTACTACACATATACTTAGTATTATTTATATACGAAGTAGTACGTACCTTGAAAAGGTTATTATTCACACACATATGTATGTATGTAATACTATCGTATGTGTTTTATACTTTTAGATACACACATAATCACATATTAATCCCTTAACTTTAGTTTGCAAAATTAATTTTACAGTTTTATATACGTAGTAATACTTGATACAAATTGCAACTTTTTACGAAGACAAAAACTAAACTAAACTATTTTAGTTTTTGTTTTCTTGGAACAAATAAGTAGAATAAATTATTGAGGTACACTTAGATTAGGTATTTATGTTCTGGCTATTTTTGAAAGACCCTACTTGATATGTTCGGTCGGCTAGGGGAGGGAAAAGTTTAGGGATCAAAGGTGTTTTAATTTCATTCATGAAGTAAAATATATACATGTGTACAAGAAGCCCTTGCCCATTTAATTTACAATTAAGGCTAGAATTAAAATATACAAACAAAATAAATAAGCCCATAACATCCCCCTCAAGTTGGAGTATGGGGTTGAGAATGCTCAACTTGCTCAGAAGAAAAAAAGAAATTGTCGTTGTCCCAGAGCTTTAGTGAAAATGTCACCAAGTTGATCACCAGTAGAAACATGACGGGTCGTGAGCAAGCCATCCTGAATAGCGTCCCGTACATAATGACAATCAACCTCTATGTGTTTGGTACGTTCATGAAACACGGCGGTCTGAGCAATATGGAGAGCAGAGCGACTATCACAAAACAGAGACACGTGTCGATTGTGCACGACCCCGAGAGACAATAAAAGTCCTTTGAGCCACTTGAGCTCCGCAGTTACCGCAGCCATAGACCGGTATTCCGCCTCCGTAGAAGAACGGGACACCGTATGTTGTTTCTTGGTCTTCCAAGAAATAGGAGAGTGTCCAAGAAAAATCAACCAACCAGTGAGCGAGCGGCGGGTGGGAGCACAGCTCACCCAGTCCGAGTCGCACCAAGCCGTAAGATGTAGATCCGAAGCATAAGGGAGAAGAATGCCTTGGCCAGGTGCACCTTTAAGGTAACGGACTACACAGAGAGCGGCGTGCCAATGTTCATGTCGCGGGGCCTGCATAAACTGAGACAAAATATGAACATCATAGGCCAAATCGGGACGGGTGAAAGACAAATAAATAAGCCGTCCCACGAGACGACGATAGGACTTGGGTTCCGAGATAAGATCTCCCGTCGCTAACGCCAAGGAGTGATTTGGCTCCATGGGACAAGAAGAGGGGTTAGCACCAAGTAGACCAGCCTCAGAAATAATATCTAATTAATGCATACTTCCTTTGGCAAAGAAGTAAGCCTTCACCACTCCGTGCCACCTCAATCCCGAGAAAATACTTGAGAGGGCCCAAATCTTTCATGTGAAAAGAATTGTGTAAATATTCTTTGAACCGAGAAAGGGCAAGAGAGTTGTTGCCAGCAATAATAAGGTCATTCACAAAGATGAGAATATGCATGCGTATGGCACCGCGACAATAAGTCAATAAGGAATAATCAGATTTAGACTGAGAAAAACCGTAACCCCGTAAGGACGAAGCAAGCTTGGCAAATCAACACCGCGGAGCCTGACGAAGTCCATAAAGGGATTTGTTCAGCTTACAAATGGAAGATGGCCGAGAAGGATAAAAACCGGGGGGAGGTTTCATGTAGACTTCTTCACCGAGATCTCCATGAAGAAAGGCATTATGCACATCCATCCGGTGTAGCTCCCAATTTTTAGCCGCAGCAACAGCTAAAAACACCCGCGCGGTGACCATTTTAGCAACAAGAGCAAAAGTCTCTGTATTATCAATACCTGCGCATTGATGATTGCCAAGCACAACCAGCCGCGCCTTAAGTCGTTCCACCGTGCCATCAGAGTTGTATTTGGTCTTGTAAACCCATTTACAACCAAGTGTTCGCTTCCCCGGAGGCAGATGTACCATATCCAAGTGTGATTGTCTTCAAGAGCTCGTATTTCATTCTGCATGGAAGCACGCCATCCTGGATCAGTCATGGCCTCGCGAAAAGACCGGGGTTCCTGTCCTGCAAGTATAGCTCCAAGAAACTTGCGATGACGAATAGAAAAACGTTCACAATTTATATAATGTGCTCAAGGATATGGCGTACCTGAGGAACCGAGAGAAGAAGATGACGGTGGAGATGGACTGTATTTTTGAACATGATGAGCGACAAAGTCACGAAGCAAGACAGATGTTTGTTTGTCACGCAATCCCCGTCCAAGAGCAGCGTTCGGGGGAGCTGGAATGGCCGGAGCAGCTGTTGGATCCGGAGTGGACCCAACCGAAGTATCTGCATGCGGTACGCCCCTTCGGAATCATAAAAAATAATCACGCCACCATCCTACTCTAGAGGCGTCGCCGGCGGTGACTATTCAGAAAAAGGGAAAATGTCTTCATGGAATTTGACGTCTCGAGACACGAAGATGTCACCCGTGGCGAAGTCATACATTTTCCAACCCTTTTCCCCGGAAGAATAGCCAACAAACACACAACGCCTACTACGGGGAGCAAATTTATCACCTCTAGACTTCAAATTATATGCAAAAGCCAAACATCCAAAGACGCGTAGGTGAGAGAAATCCGGGATCTTACCAGTGAGTACTTGATATAGGGTCTTGCCCCCTAGTAAACCAGAAGGTGTGGGGTTGATGACGTGCACAGCCGTGAGCACACACTCTCCCCACAGACGAATGGGGATACTAGCTTGGAACATCAAGGCTCGTGCCACATTTAAAAGATGACAGTGCTTGCGCTCAACACGACCATTCTGTTGAGGAGTGTCAACACACGAGGTTTGAAAATTAATCCCATGAGTTTCAAAATAAGATGACATACACTTAAACTCGGTCCCGTTATCACTATGAACATTTTTCACAGTCACCTCAAATTGTTTCTCGACCATAGTGATAAAGGAGATAAATAAATGAATCATTTCCTTTTTGTCACGCAATAAATACACTCATACAACACGGAAAAAATCATCAACCAAAGTCAGGAAATAAATAGCATCACAAGTGGAAGGAACCTTATACGGTCCCCACAAATCACAATGTACTAGTTCCAGAATACGACTAGCTCTAAAATTACTGACAGGAAAAGAATCACGTGCTTGCTTGGCCTGTGGACACACCTCACAAGCTTTATTTAATTTTTTCTCACAAGTACTACTAGTTATCTGAGGCAACAACTTCACAACTCGATCCGACGGATGACCCAGACGACGATGCCATAACTCAAAATCTGACAGACCTGAGGTGCAAACAGCATGTAGTTCAGGAATCCCCCGAAAATAATACAGTCCACCTCTCCGTTCACCTGTTCCAATCAGGTTCCTCGAGCGTAGGTCCTGTATAGCACAAAATAAATTAGTGAAAGTAACAATACAGTCAGTCTTGTCAATCAGTTGAGAGACAGATATAAGGTGACAATTTAGTCCAGGCACATAAAGAACACGATCAAGTACCAAATATTTATTGAGAGATACACGCCCCTCCATCTCGGCCGAAACCGTCCTTCCATCGAGTAAGCCAACAGGGCAAGAATTGATACGAGTACATTGACTCAAACAAGACAAATTTCCCGTGACGTGGTGTGACGCCCCGATATCAATAATCCATGGCAGGGAAGTATACGTACCCGACATGCGGTCAGAAGAACTAGAATCAACGCTAATCAAATTCAATAGAGCCTGAACCTATCCCCTTCTCAATTCGTGCAAAGCGTTCGCCTCACCGTGGGAAGATATCCCGCTGCCGCTGCTCCCATTTGAACCACTTCTGCATGGCAAAGAAGACACGGCGTGCGCGCGTGCCCCCCCCCCCCCCCCCCCCCCTCCACGTCCAGCTGCAGCTCCTTTGTTTCGGTTTCTCTCGTCCCACCATTCCGGGTATCCATGCAATTTGAAACAAGCTCCAACTTCGTGGCCCTTTTGTTTGCACTGAGTGCACACGAGTTTGGATGTGTCCACACGTTCTTGGCGTCCCTTCCTGAGAGCGAAGGCCTGAACATCGACGGCGGCCGGCTGTTTACCACGAGCCACTGCTCGTGAATTCTCCTCTTGGAGAAACGCTTAATGAACACGGTCTATATCGGGGACTGGAGTTTGTGACAACAGATTGCTTCGAACAGTCCCATAAATTTCATCATCAATTCCGATCAAAAATTGATGCAAGCGTTCCTCCTCACGGTCCGCGGCAAACTTCCTAGCCACGTTACACGTACACCGGCCACACGTGCAAGCATGTAGCGGTTTCAGCCTATTAAATTCATCATAGAGACTCATCAGTGCAGTGTAATACGCATCCACAGACATAGCCTTGGACTGTTTGCACCCCGTTATCGATGTGCGAAGCTGCTGCAATATTGGTCCATTCGCAACGCTAAAACGCTTCTCCAAATAAAGCCACAATGCGCGCGCCTCATCGTGGAAGGGTATTGATGCAGCCACGTTCGGTTCCATGCTGCGCAATAGCCAAGACACCACCATGGAATTGACAGTGTCCCAGTCAAGCAATTTTGCTATGTCAGTCGGCTTCGTCTCGGTTCCATCCACAAACACGTATTTGTGACGTGCCTTCAAGGAAAGAGTGATAGCCCGAGACCAAGCTACATAGTTGTCTCCTTTGAAAATTACATGTGTGATAACATTCCCGGGTTGATCACCGGACCCAAGATAATAAGGTGATGATGCATCCGCCATGGCAGAGGTCGAAGTGGGTCACGTTGGTGCCTCTCCTCCACTGCCCTGTTTGTTCTGTTCGTGCACAGAAGCTCAGGACCCCTGTGGCTCTGATACCATGTTCGATCGGCTACGAGAGGGAAAAGTTTAGGGATCAAAGGTGTTTTAATTTCATTCATGAAGTAAAATATATACATGTGCACAAGAAGCCCTTGGCCCATTTAATTTAGAAATAAGGCTAGAACTAAAATATACAAACAAAATAAATAAGCCCATAACATGATAAGTAAAAGCTTTTTACTCCTTTTTTTATAATCCAGGTGTCGGGGCTTACGCTCCCATAATCCTGGAGTCTTTTGAACTACCCTTCAAAGCCCCTAGACAGTTAAATCCGGATCTGATCACAGTCAGGCTCGTCAGTACTGGCTCCAAAGGACGAATCCAGCAGGACTTACATCACCTTTCAGGCTGCTCCTCCCACCACACGAACGCGCTACCTTCATTACCATCCTCTCCCTTCTCGGCCGCTGAGCAACTCCGTGAAGGTAGGAAGAAGAATCATTGGGAGCAAGACCTCACTCATCTCCCCTTGGTGAGAATTGAACCCAAGACCTTCCACGAAGGAGAGACTTGAGGACGGATGGTCATCCATTGGACTACACCCACCAATCCAAAAAAGCTTTTTACTCCGTAACATTCTAACATTAATACACATAATATACTCACGTATTACATAAATTAATAGTAGTGTACATATATACAACATAATATTATACGGAGTACTAAAAAAATAAAAATGAATAGTGTCAAACGTACTACTGTAAAAATTATACTTCGTATACATTAAGAATTTATTATTCATTTTAACAAGATTAATGTAGTTAAATAAGGAAAAACTTATATGAAAACAATAATATAGGCGGATTAGACATCTTATCATTAAAATTGACAATTTTCTAATCAATTTTTATAAACAAATTAATATATACTACGTCACATGTTTGATCTGCCAATGTCAACTTTCAGAGCACTTCTATTATGAAAACTAAGTTTTATTTTATTTCATTGGGTAGATTTATAGTGTGGTACTTTTAAATGTCATATTATATGTAATGAAAATAAATTTTTAGTTTCAAATAAAAAATATGGAAACTAACAAAATAGCGAAAAATTTCACCCCTTGATCATAAATCCTGGATCCATCCTTATGCCCATATCAACTAAGAAAAGGAAAGAAACCAAGGAACACCAACGGATGATCCATTTGGCACAGGTAATTATACAACTAATTGGAGTTGCATGAGCCTTGTGCATGTCCTATTACTGCTAGTTGAGTCTATATAATATTTGTAAAAAGGTTAGTAATAGTTTATTTATTAATCTTACGTATAACCCTTTGATATTGTCACCAACACATGGTTTTGTCACAACCTATCTCATGGTTGGTTGTATTAGTTGAACTTTGTTCAGAAATGCTTACAACTACTGCATTTTTTTCCTTTACAGTTCAAACTTTGCAGACTATATGTTCTTTTGTTCTTGTCTTTCTCCATGATAACTTTTAGAGCAGTAAATTAGAATGCCTTTCCTTGTTAGCATCTCTTGCTGCAGTTAGGCAAGCACACTTTTCTTTCTCATTATTTGACAGGTAACTGTTTTCATTGTATTCCATTTTACTTTACAAAAAAATTAGAACCTTCAGAGCCATTTTATTGTATTCTAGATCATTAAGTATTGATTTATCTGCATATGATTTTGATGGTAATCTGAACTATTTGATTTGTCTTTCCGTGTATTTCTTCTTTTTCATACACTAGAAAGATCAAATTCTGCTTCTTCATTTGACACCAAACTTTGTTTTTTAAATAGGAGACAGGTGATAAGGCAAACTTCACCAATTTGGGATTTTATTAATCATGTCTTCTTCTGCTTCTTCTCCATGGCTCTCATCTCTTGAGTGTTCATCTTCTGCAATTGTTACTTCAGACCATTCATCCTTACTCTCAGTTGTAATCCAATGGTTGAGATTCATTTTTCTGTCACCATGCCCCCAAAGACTCCTCTTTTCAGCCATTGATCTCATCTTCCTACTCTCCGTATTAGTGTTAGCTATCCAAAAGCTATGCATTAGGTTCATAAGGAGGAAAAACAAGAGATCCTACGAGAATGGATCTGAGAGGCTACACTACTATAAGGCAACCCTTTTGTTCTATCTATCTTTGATTGTGACCTCTCTCTTAGCCTTAGCTTATAGCAATCTTTGCATCTTCACTTTCATCAAAGGCCTCAATTCAAAATGGGATTTCATTGAAGCCTTGTTCATGTCACTTCAAGCCGTAACTCATATCACACTTTTTGTCCTTATTGCCCTAGAGAAAAGATATGGAGTTGTTGATCACCCCATGTCCATTCGAGCCTATTGGACCGCAAACTTTTCGGTTGCATGCTTATTTGCAGCCTCTGCGGTCACCCGATTAGTCTATTTCGGGTACAAAGAGGATTTGGGCACCAGCATGGACGATTTATTTTTCTTGGCTTCCCTACCGTTATGCTGTTATCTCTTTATAATGACCGTGAAAGGATCAAGTGGTGTTCATAGCGTAGTTCGGGAGGTGGATACTAGTAATGTGAGTGGCTATGCTAAAGCTTCAGTGTTGTCTAAGGCGATGTGGAATTGGATGAATCCATTATTGACTAAAGGGTATAAATCCCCTTTAACAATTGATGAAGTCCCCTCCCTTCCGCCTGATTTTGATGCAGAACGGATGGGAGAGCTTCTACGAAAGAATTGGCATGTATCCAATGACAGTACTATTCCGAGTAACACCAAACACCCCATACTTAAAGCGTTAGCACGTAGCTTTTGGAAAGACCTGATGTTCACGGGATTTCTAGCTACGGTGCGTTTGGGTGTCATGTACGTTGGCCCGCTCCTTATAAAAAGTTTTGTCAAGTTCACTTCAGGGGACAGAACCAAAAGCCCTTATAAAGGGTACTACCTAGTGATGGCCCTTTTGGGTGCAAAAGTGACTGAAGTCATGGCCTCCCACCATTTCAACTTCCATTCCGCGAAACTCGGGATGTTAATACGCAGTTCGATAATGACTACATTGTACAAAAAAGGCCTACGTCTGTCTTGCACGGCACGACAGGCGCACGGGGTGGGCCAGATCGTGAACTACATGGTGGTGGACTGCACCATGATATCCGATATGAGTTCACAACTACACACAATATGGATGATGCCAATGCAGCTAGTGGCAGCTCTCCTCCTCCTGTACATTTACATTGGTTCCCCTGTGATTGCATCCTTAGGGGCCGTTTGCCTAGTAACGGCTTTAACATTTGTCATGGCTATCTGGGCGAACACCTTCCAATTCAATCTGATGGCGAATCGGGACCAGAGGTTGAAAGCGATCAACGAGGTGCTCGGGAATATGCGTGTGATCAAGTTCCAGGCGTGGGAAGAACATTTCAGTAAGAAAATTCAAGCATTCCGCCTGGTCGAGTTTGGGTGGTTGGGCAAACTCATGTACCTGATGGCTACGAATCTGTCGTTTCTCTGGAGCATACCAAACGTCATCTCCGCCGTGACGTTCGTCGTGGCGGTTCTGTTCAAAATCCCGCTCGACGCCGGAACGGTTTTCACGGCGACGACGATATTGAAGATCTTGCAGGAACCGATTCGAACCTTCCCGCACATGGTCATATACACTGTACAAGCGTACACCTCCCTGAAAAGGCTGGATGCTTACCTCACTAGCCCTGAATTGGATAACAAGTTTGTCCAGAGAGAAGATGGTTCCGGCGGCGGCGATGACGTCACTGTGGAGGTCAAAAATGGGAATTTCTGCTGGGATGAGAAAGACGAGAAGAAAGTGTTGAGAGATATATGCTTTGAAGTGAGGAAGGGGGAGCTCGCTGCCATTGTTGGAACGGTCGGGTCGGGGAAGTCTTCCTTATTGGCTTCGGTTCTCGGCGAACTCCATAAATTATCAGGAAAGGTATGTATGTGATCTCTTGTTCCTCCGGTCCCCCTCCTTTCAAAATTATGTGACTGGTTTTGGACTTTGCTTTCATATACTACCTCCGTCTCTTAAAACTTTGACAAAGTTGACCGGTACGGAGAATAATAAAGTCAAAACTGTGTGGTTTAGATTTGTGCAGAAGAGAGAAAAAACAGAAACCACAAAACAATTGATTAAAAGGGAAAGTGGCAAAGTTTTTTGGGACGTCCCAAAAAGGAAAGATGACAAAGTTTTAAGGGACGGAGGGAGTATGAAAAATTGTGGGTTATTAAATATTACGTACAGTATAAAAATGTTCAAAAAATCTATTTGTACACATTTTTGTACACACTTTTGTACACACTCCCCCTATTTTGTCTGTGCACACAAGCAGTTCGTTAAGAAAAAGGCAACATTTGTCTCCCAATTGTCTGTGTACACAGACAAATGTACAAAGTGTGTACAAAAGTGTGTACAACAAGAAGGGTTCAAAAATGTACTACCTCCTTACCATAAAATTTGGTCAACTTTCCATTTTTATCCGTCTCAAAAAAATTTGTCATTTCCATTTAAAGTAACAAATATGTGCCTAAAGTTATTTCTCGCACCTCTGCACAAATATCAACCACGCAATTTTTACTTATTAATCTACGTGCAAGTCAATATTGATCAAATTTTATGGGACGGAGGAAGTATGAAACAAGATACAATAACCATCGACCAATTTTTCTTATATAACATTACTTACATCAATTATTATAAAATTTAGAGCGTAAAATCAAAAGTTTTATGTTTAATACAAAGTGATACGTCGAAAATAGATTGTACCAAACAAGTCACACCATTTCAATATAAAGACTTGAGACAATTCTTGGATATTTAGGAAAAAACTCAAAATGAGGTACTTGAAAACGTTTAGTTCAGCTTATTTCAATAAAATCAGAAGTAGATTTAAAAAGAGCAAAAAAATCAGTTCAAACAAAATCAAACTGGATAATAATAAAATAAAATGCACAAACTAGCATACCGTATCAAACTATATACACCAGACTACATAAATCTAGATCAGACTCGGGGCAAATCCCATACAAGTAAATTTCAGTCAAAATGAACAAGTCCTTGGAGTTCATTACGTTTAAAAGAGCGATTGATCTTGCTAAAACTTAAAAAGAGTACACATCTTTCAAGAATAGTCTACTCTAGGAGACCACCCAACTCACATATGAGTGCATTGGATAACTCTTATAAGTGTGACCTTTTATAATGGAATGCCAAATCTGAATAAGTTAGAATTTTGCATTTCCTTATAATACCAAGTCCATTGGCATTTCTTTTTTTTTTTTAATAGTCAATTGGCATTTCCATTTTCAGCCGCTAAATCCTCATTCTTCTTGTTGTAAAACAAGCAATGATTGTTATTATAGGCCAGGTAAGTGACTTATTGATCATCTTTTCAACATTTTGAATCTATTGAATGAGGTGATCCAATAAGCAAAAAGCTCAAGTTGATATATGCATTATAAATTTCTTCTTCTTCTTCTTTGTATTACTGTATGCTTAATAGCAAGGACAGTGACTCCATGCAGCTAACAATCTATTTTTCCTGCAGGTGAGAGTGTGTGGTACTACTGCTTATGTGGCACAAACCTCATGGATACAAAATGCAACTATTCAAGACAACATTTTGTTTGGTTCGCCAATGGACAGGGAAAGATACAATGATACAATAAAGGTTTGCTCCTTAGAGAAAGATTTTGAAACCATGGAACATGGTGACCAAACGGAGATCGGAGAACGGGGAATTAACCTAAGTGGTGGACAGAAACAGAGGATACAACTAGCTAGAGCAGTTTATCAGGACTGTGATATTTATCTTCTTGATGATGTTTTTAGTGCTGTTGATGCTCAAACAGGATCTGAAATATTTAAGGTAGCATCAATTTCACGTAACTTAAATCACTTAATGTTTTCAGTGACATTACTAGTCCCTCCACCCCCCCAAAAAAAATCAATGCTCTTTTTGAACTTTAATAGAGTTTTATTATGTATGATAAATATAGTTACAGTTAAACTTCCAATAAATGTAAGAATGTGCATAGAATTATGTGGCTGTTAAACTATCTTGTGAAAATTAAGAGATTGTACATTCACATAACTTGACTTTTTTGGGACCGAGGGACTATACTACTCAACTCATACAGACTACGCACGACATGCTAAGAAATTTTGTAAGCAATTTCTCTTCGGTTGTGAAAGGAAAACAAACTACTTTATATTATGTGATTCATTCCAAAGAAAGACTATTTTTACATTTTAATATGAAAGTGACTTTTTTGTATAAACAAGGCTGTGAGTACTAATTTTGTTAATGTTCGACCTTCCGCGGGGCACTGTGTTGCTCACTGACAGGTGCGAGAGGCCATTTCTATGTCTAACCATCATGTTTGCTTCTTTATCTCCTGTGCTTTCGATGTTGACCATATATAACTTGAGTAATATCAAGTTATGGTGCTTTAAAACTATATGAGCGAGTATAAAGATCAATTTTGATTTTTGGTGAATTGTGTGTTTGTTGCAGGGATGTGTGAGGGGAGCTTTGAAAGATAAAACGGTTCTTCTTGTGACTCACCAAGTTGATTTCCTGCACAATGCTGATCTTATAATGGTTAAGTGCATTAGAGTAATTTTCTTTTGTAAATACTTATACATAGTTTGAGTTCTTATACTTCTCATCAATCAGGTTATGCGAGAAGGTAAGATCGTGCAATCAGGAAAGTACACGGATCTTCTAGAATCCGGTATGGATTTTGGTGATCTAGTTGCTGCACATGAGAACTCAATGGAGCTTGTGGAAACAAGTTCATCCGTTTCCGACAAAAACCACCCAAAATCCCCCCGCCAGCAATCTCCTAAATCGCTTCATAAACCTGAGGACCAGCTGGAGCCAAAAGACCAACCTGAACCGAATGCTGACTCGAAGCTCATCGAAGACGAGCAACGAGAAACCGGGCATGTGAGTTTTGATGTCTACAAGCAATATTGCACTGAGGCATATGGATGGTGGGGAGTGATCGTGGTGATGATCGCATCAATTTTATGGCAACTTGGGGTGATGGCAAATGATTATTGGCTTGCATATGAAACTTCAAGTGTGGATGGCTTTAAACCTTCGTTGTTCATCATCATTTATTCAACGATAGGAGGCATTTCCTGCATACTTGTGGTGCTTAGATCATTTGTTGTAGCGGCTTTGGGTTTGAAAACATCTCAAGGCTTCTTTACTCAAATCATAGGTAGCATCCTCCGTGCTCCAATGTCCTTCTTCGACACTACTCCATCTGGAAGAATTCTAAGCCGAGTGAGTCGACCTTGGTAGTTCACATTTGGTAGAACCCTTAATGATATAGGGAAACCGTATTCCTCTTGAGAGCTCTAATTTTGCATATTTAATCTTCTCAGGTATCAATAGATCAAGCATCAGTTGATTTCGTTATCCCTTTGTTACTGAGTAGTTCATTGGCACTGTTCTTTACGGTAATAGGCATATTGATCGTAATGTGTCAGAATGCTTGGCCAACTGTATTCCTCCTCTTCCCACTCATTTGGCTTAATATCTGGTATAGGGTAATGCAATACTTGTACCATAATGACATTGCTTAGTTGACAGTTTTTATCTAACTTCAACAACCAAATCAAATTAACTTGATGGTTATCTTGTGTATGCAGAAATATTATATTGCATCATCAAGGGAGTTAACCCGGCTCGATTCCATTACTAGAGCTCCAATCATTCACCACTTTTCAGAGACGATTAACGGAATTATGACCATACGCTGCTTTAGGAAGGAGGAGACGTTCTTCCAGGGGAATGTTGACAGGGTGAATGCAAATTTGAGGATGGACTTTCACAACAATGGATCAAATGAGTGGTTTGGTTTTCGCCTCGAGTTCATAGGAAGCGTTTTGCTTTGTGCCTCCACCCTTTTCATGGTTATGATTCCTAGCAATGTTATTGGATCAGGTGAGGACATCATATAAAATAAACAATATTGCAAGACTAATGGATGGTGTAGAAATGGAATAAAAGTAGGAGTTGATAGATGCAAAGTAGAAATGAGACAATAGGAAGATGAGAAAAACAAAGTAAAAGTTACCAAAAATGATTATAAAACAAATACTCTCTCAAAACGAATATGAACTAACTAATACTCCCTCTTTGTGGAAATGTTTGCTATAATATGGGTTGGGAAAATATTCGAGGGGAAAATAGTAGGCGTAATACGTTTTTTATACTTGTAATCTGGTACAAATCTACCCCGGTTCCTCCAAAATAGAACAAGACCCCACTAGACAACCGGGTAAACATGCGCGGAGAGCTGGGGGCTACGATAGGCTCTCATCCACCCCAAATTGTACCGGTCTGGGCCAATTTGAGCCCTAGCTAAGCCATTGTGGGCAAATGTGTTTTTGAACCCGGAGTATAAGCCAACATATAAGATTATGAATTGCTTTTTTTTCATGTTTACTTTGTCTTTTTGGAAGGGAAACTAAAGTGAGAATTTTATTTCTTTGCATTTCTGTTTGTAAATGAGTAGTTATTTTTTAATTACCAGAGTATATCGGGATGGCTCTGTCTTATGGCCTGTCCTTGAATAGTGTTCTCTTCACCTGTGTCTCCACGTTTTGCGTCATGGAGAATAGAATGGTTTCAGTTGAAAGAATAAAACAGTTTATAAAGATCCGGCCAGAAGCTGCATGGAAGACAAGTTTTGTTCCACCTTCAAATTGGCCCAATCATGGAAACATTGAGATAAAAGACTTGAAGGTAGGTAACATTGCTGGAAATGAGTAATTATCTCGAATTGAATTAAATAATAATAATTACTTCTTTCATTCCAAAAAGAATTAATTCCACTTTAGATCCTCCGAGTTTTGTTCCAGTTCCATATTTAGTCCTCGTCTTTCACTTTATCCATTTTTGGTACCTTACTATTGTTTTCTTGACCATTTGTTGTCCATTTCTGAGCATTTTTACTATCGGAAAAGGGCTATATATGGTCAAGAAAACAATAGTCAGGTATAAAAAATGGATAAAATGAAAGACGAGGACTAGTTGTGGAATTGGTACAAAACTTGAAGGACCATGAGTGGAATTTCTTCTTCCAAATTTCACACGCATCATATATATTTAGCTAACATATAGTTCTACTTTGGATTTTCGAGTTATACTCTCACTTTATGTAAAAAGTAAATATTTCCTCCCAAATAAGGAAAGCAATAGAAAGGGGCGGACAGTAGTAGAGATCCAGAGGTACCGCCCCCAACAATTTTTTTTAGTGGATATGCATAACAAAGATAATTTTGTTCTCCCAAAAAGTATTTTGAAACCCAAAATATTTTCGCTCCAGATGACTTTTTGGAATGGATGGAGTATATAAAAATATAATTTCAACTAAAAGTTAAAGTAAAACATTCTTTAAACATTTTTTTATTGGCTTCCAAAAAAAACATATTTTTTATTGAAGGAATGAAAAATATATTACTCGTACTAAAATAAAAGTAGTAATGCATAATGACTAGGAAGATTAAAGAGCCAACCCTATCGTAGGTTAGGTATAGGGACAATGCTCCTCTTGTTCTGAAAGGAATAACCGTTGGCATCAATGGCGGCGAAAAGATTGGGGTGGTCGGGAGAACCGGAAGCGGGAAGTCCACACTGATACAAGTGTTTTTCCGGTTGGTGGAGCCTGCCGGCGGCAGTATTATAATAGATGGAATTGACATTTGCAAACTAGGGCTTCACCGTCTGAGATCTCGGTTTGGGATCATTCCTCAAGAGCCAGTTCTTTTCGAAGGAACAGTCAGAAACAATATTGATCCACTTGGGTTGTATTCTGATGATGAAATATGGAAGGTACAATGTAAATATAATTTGTTTATACTAATAGATTTGATATGTTTAGTATCCGTTCGGTGACTCTGTTTTTCGGCTTATCAGGCTCATCAGTCATTTTTTTTAAGCAAACGTGCAACTTTTTATTTAGCGCGCTGAATTGTATAATACTCCGTAATAAGAAAAAGTAAGGTTGTTGTTACTTTCCTACCTGTATTGACCGAAGTTACGATAGATAACCATTTTAGCTATTTTTCATATATATATATAATTTTATTAATGTAATATATTTTAAAAATATTTTTTTCATAAATCAGCAGAATCGACCAATACAGCCATTTCAGATACAATTTCATAAATTTCAGCAAAATAAGCCGATACAGTCGATTCCAGTGTTACCAAATGGGCTTTTAATTACATTTGGCCAATTTTCATTATGAGATTGTTTTAATAATTATTTCACTTCCTCTTTATAATAATAAATTTGTAACTAATATTATTTCAATTATAGACTTTATACTTTCTTATTCTTCGAGTCAGTTGTGACGAAGTATAGTACGAAGTACTTCTTTTGTCGCATGAGAAATGGTAAAGGTATCCCAAAATGATGTACATAAAATAAATATAAAGATGAGATAAACTTAATTATCTTTCAATTTAGAGCCTTGAGCGGTGCCAGTTAAAAGAAGTTGTTGCTGAGAAGCCGGGTAAACTTGACGCTTCAGGTAACTATATTTTTTTACATATCTATTATTGTTTTTACTGTCTCATTTAAATGTTTTTTAACCTTTAAAACCTTACTCAATTACCAATGGTAAAAAAAATTGACTAGTGGCTTACTCGGGAGACAATTGGAGTGTGGGACAAAGGCAGCTTCTTTGCTTAGGGAGAGTGATGCTAAAGAACACTCAAATTCTGTTCATGGATGAAGCAACGGCTTCCGTTGATACTCAAACGGACGTTGTCATTCAAAGGGTGATCCGTGAGGACTTCATCAACTGCACAGTTATCACCATTGCTCATAGAATTCCGTCTGTTATTGACTGTGACCGTGTGCTCATCATAGACAATGGTGAGTATGTGTGTGTGCTATGGACCCTTACATTTTTTTTACCCCGGGGTCACGGGAGGGGCTAGGGGGCCTGAGATGAACTGTCTCTATCGAATTTCGAACCCAAGACTTTCTATGTTGCAGAGTGAGTCGGCGACCAGTTGAGTTGGACCGCTTACTCTGCTATGGTCCCTTACAATCATTCTTCGTGTACTTGTCAGAACATGAACAATTTTCCTCTGCTATTTTCCACGTCACATACTCACACAAACAATTTTTCATTTTTTCCAAAAATTTTTGCATACAGATTGTGTTATGTGTGCACAAATAAAATATGGGACGTGAACAAAAACATGTATAAATGACGTGCACATAATGAATTTTCCATTCCCTTAAGGTGTTAGCCTCATTAGTAAAGAAAAAGGATGATTGTATATATATATACTTTTTTACTAAATTAACTGAAGTGGGTCATTTTAATATTTTTCCATACATTTTTTTATTTCTTTACTATATTAATAAATGAATTTTCTTAATTCCACTTGAACAATATCAACATATTCAAACAACTTTAGTTTTAAAAGACTCTTTCTTATATTTTTTTTAGCTTGTTACATGTTCTTATTTTAACTCTAGCAGACCAGACAAAAACGGTTATGTACATTAAACTAGAAAGATTTAAATGAAATCACGTTTATGTTTTATAGTGAACAAGAAAAAAATTGAGAAGATAATAAACATTCAAAGTAGATGAGAAAAAAATAGTCGAGCCACACTAAATCAGACCAGATATCAAGATATCCAAATCTCATCACATTTTTTGAGGTCAAGAGGACATTTTCAATAGAGTGCATATATGTACATATAATTACATTATATTTATATATATGTACAAAAATGGGTAAATTATAAAAATGCAGGTTGTATTATTAAGCTTTGGTCCCCTTAAAAACTTACTTTCTCCTTTTACTTTGTGTGTAGGATGGGTAAAAGAATTTGAGGCGCCAGGGAAGTTGTTGGAGCGACCTTCGTTGTTTCGGTCATTGGTTCAAGAATACTCACATAGATCATCTGGGGTTTAATCCACACCCTTTAAGTTCATCATAGAATCGATCTGAGTTGGGTTTTGATCAGTCGGAAAGTGTTCGAGACTGGTCAATGCTTGTTTTGACATTTTCATTCTTTCATCAAAGCAACTATTTTTGAATTGAGGATGAAAAGCTCAAAAAGCAAATTTCTGGAGTGAAAGAATCCTTCTTCAGCTACATTTGTCCATCTCTTCTGCCTCTTCAGTTTTATGTGTCCTACATTGTTGCATTGCAACGTTGCATTACTTGCATATGTACGTAATATGTAAGTTGGATTATTGGACTTATATTGCATGTAATATTCACAATATATTATTTATCGGGTTTAATTGTATGTTATATGCTATCTTATATTTAGGCCCAAAAATTAGTGGTCCTATGGATATTAATTTAAGTGGGCTAATAAGTTATCTAATAAGGTATAGGGTTCAAATGTGTAGAGACCCATGGGCTTGACCTAATCAATGATGGGCTGATTAGGGTTAAGCACTCTCTATAAATAAGGGGTTATGGTCCCTAGTTGAACACGTCATTCCGTCTTTCTGCATCCCATCGCTAGAGAGATAATTCCCGAGGGTGTGTATCAACTGGAAGACACAAACCCTAGCCTCCGTCTCCCGGATCCCTAAAGATCATCTCCCATGGAGTCAGGTACGCTTCCGCTCAGTTAATTCTCTAGATAATTTCAATATGAAGATTAAAGTATTCATGGATTTATTCCAACAATTGGTATCAGAGCCTCCTTCATATTGAATTATTTGATTATTCATATTTTTGTTTCAATTTTAAACAATTAAATTTCGGATATATTTTATGCATATGATATGCCGATTATTGGAAATCAAGGTACTGCATTTTTTAATACAGTTCGTTCCTAACGTATTCATATGTTAAATCGGCACACAATAACTAAATTGAAATTCGAGGTTTCAATGATTCTCTCAATTGTATAGTAACTCGTATGGACATTAAAAAAGGAGGGGAAATCGAAATCGGCAGATTATATGTGAGTCGGTTGATATATGTTATTCTGACATATTATATGTGAGTCGGTTGATTTGGGATGCTGCGTATCTGCTATTTCAAATTGCAATAGGGATAAAGTATAGACTAAGTGGAATCAACAATTTTGTTTAATTCAGTACTCCTTTGCCGATCAATCTATTATGGGGATTGATGCATTATTTTTTTTTGTTAACGGGTGATAATGGATTAATATGTTCTTATCACTTTATGGAGTACGGTTAATTATTAATTTATTATTTTATTTGGGTGGAGCTAATGTGATTCAATCTGATTCACAATTTCAGTTTTTTTTAGGGTGCCAGCCACGTACCTTTCATAATTCATAGTTTAGTTGTTGTTGTCCATATGGTTAAGTTTTTTTTTTTCAGTCATTAAAAGGTGATTCTTGTCACTTTTATTATTTGATTTGTTTCCAATGTTTTTTGAATCGACCGAGGTATGTGAATCAAATTATATTTTGGTATGTTTCGTTTTCGGTGATTCAATTTTGGGAATGTTCTATGGAGTATGATTTTGGTAATCAAGTACATATATGTGATTACCCGTTTTGGTAATTAAATACTTATACGTTATTACGGCAAATATCAGTCCTATTAGAATTGCATATTTGGATATTTCTGAAATAGATTACTTTTGTTTAGTGATCATGATTTACAGCTTGAAAAATATGTATTGTGTGTTATGAGATGTATAAACCCTATTTTGTGATCGCACATCGATTGAGTACAGGTTTTACAAATTATCGTTCTACATAACACATTTGCATGTGATTCAGAAAAATTCGCCCAATTTTATTTTCAGATTGTTGATTTAATATTAGCATGTCTAATATTTGGGTTGATTAATAGACACAACATGATGCCAAAGTAGCCTCTCTTGTTGAAATTAATTAACTCATATATTAAGATGATTGTGTACTTTCTTACTTCATGCGGATAATAATCGGCCCAAAGGAAGGTTATTATTTGGCCGAAATTTAAGTACATTTGTGATAATAAAATTTGTGATGATTATGAAGTTTTTCGTGTGAATATTAAGTCGGTCCAAAGAAAGGCTTAATATTTGACATGATTTTATTATCAAAATTTTATTATCACACCAAGAGTACCACTTGCAAGTCTAATTTATGTCCAAAGACAAGATTAGATGTTGCGCTAGGTATCTTGTGATGTGGATTGCTAATATTTAAATTTAAAATTAATTATCAAATTAATTTCAGTTCCTAGAGCATATCATTTATATTATTTTTCGTTTTCTTTCAGTCAACAATTCTGCTGCTACAATATCTGCTAATATTAATAGCATCCCAGTGCTTAACGGCACGAATTTTAAGGAATGGAAAGAGAACGTTATGATCGTTCTCGGTTGCATGGATCTAGACCTTGCACTTCGGACTGAGAAACCCACCGCTCTTAAGGACACATCTACCCTTGATGAAAAGAGGGAGATGGAGAGGTGGGAACGCTCAAACCGCATGAGTCTAATGATCATGAAACGTGCAATTCCAGAATCATTCAGGGGCACAATGTCTGATGAGGCTGATGCCAAATCGTTCCTTGCCGAACTTGAAAAACGTTTTGCTAAAAACGAAAAGGCAGAAACTATTACTCTTTTGAGCACTCTTGTTTCCATGAAGTACAAAGGCAAAGGGAACATAAGGGAGTACATTTTGGAAATGTCGCATATTGCTTCAAAACTAAGTGCACTAAAGCTTATTTTACCTGAGGAATTGCTTGTGTATTTAGTTTTGATCTCTCTTCCTTCTCAATTTAATCAATTTAAAGTCAGTTACAACTGCATTAAGGAGAAATGGTCTCTCAATGAGCTCATTTCTCATTGTGTTCAAGAGGAAGAGAGAATAAAGCAAGATAAGACAGAAAGTGCTCATTTGGCATCTACCTCTAAGGGCAGCAAGAAAAGGAAAATTAAGGAAGCTGCAAATTCAGGGCCTCCCAGGAAGCATCATAAGGAAACTAAGGAAGAAACTAAGGAATCTGGATGCTTCTTTTGCAAAGGGACTAATCACAAGAAAAAGAACTGCACTAAGTACCACGCCTGGCGTGCGAAAAAGGGTATGTCTCTTGCTCTTGTTTGTTCTGAGGTTAATTTGATTTCGGTACCAAAAGACACTTGGTGGGTAGATTCCGGTGCTACTACTCACATAAGTGTATCTATGCAGGGTTGCCTGAGCTGCCGAAAACCAATTGATGGTGAAAGATACATCTATGTCGGTGATGGCAAGCGGGTTGAAGTTGAGGCTATCGGTGTTTTTAGATTATTATTAAAGACTGGTTTTTATTTGGATTTGAAAGAGACATTTGTTGTGCCATCATTTAGGCGGAATTTAATTTCTATTTCTGCATTGGACAAATTTGGTTATTCTTGTTCATTTGAAAATAGTCAGTTCAGTCTATTTCAAGATTCAAAACTGATTGGTACTGGTCTTTTATCAGTTTATGATAATCTATACTCACTTGATATAAATACCTCATAAAATGAAACTTTGCATGCAAGTACTCGTGGTACTAAAAGAAAATTAACCAATGAGAATTCGTTTTCACTTTGGCACAAGCGTCTAGGACATATTTCTAAAGAAAGAATTCAGAGACTTGTGTCAGATGGAATTCTTGATTCTCTTGACTTCTCAAATTCTGATATTTGTGTTGAGTGCGTTAAGGGAAAACAAACGAACAAACGGAGATTAGGTGCCGAGAGAGCTTCAGATCTATTAGAATTGATATATACGGACATTTGTGGACCATTCCCTACACCATATAGAAATGGTCAAACATATTTTATCACATTCATAGATGATTACTCTCGTTATGGTTACATTTATCTCATTCATGAAAAGTCCCAATCAATAGACGTGTTCAAATCTTATAAGGCCGAAGTTGAAAATCAATTAGGCAAAAGAATAAAAACCGTTAGATCTGACCGTGGTGGTGAATACTATGGTAGATATGATGGTTCCGGTGAACAACGTCCAGGGCCATTTGCTAAATACCTAGAGGAGTGTGGAATTGTTCCTCAGTACACCATGCCAGGAACTCCTAGCATGAATGGTGTTGCTGAGCGACGAAACCGTACATTGAAGGACATGGTTAGGATTATGATTTGTCATACTACTTTACCCGATTCACTCTGGGGAGAGGCACTGAAAACTGCAGCTTACATACTTAACAGAGTTCCCACTAAAGCTACAACTAAAACCCCTTATGAAATTTGGACTGGAAAGAAACCCAGTATAAATCATTTCCATGTTTGGGGTTGTCCAGCTGAGGCAAGGCCTTATAGGCCAAATGAAAAGAAATTGGACTCAAGAACAGTTAGTAGCTATTTTGTAGGATACTCTGAGAGATCAAGAGGGTATAAGTTTTATGATCCCACTACCAGGACTGTTTTTGAGACGGGTAATGCCCGGTTCTTTGAGGATATTGAGTTTGGGGGGTGGGGAGATAAGGTTAGAGGTTTTGTATTTGAGGAAGAGCATGTTACTCTTCCTTCAGTTGTCATTGAACATGATCAAGATATTTTTATTCCTAATGATGTTCAAGAAACAACTCCAGATCATGACAATCTCGAAAACATCCCCAATCAAGTACCTGAATTTATTAATGAGGATCAAACTCAACAACCTCAAGAACCTGAGGTGCCGTTAAGGAGATCCACTCGAGAGAGGAGAAGCGCAATTCCGGATGATTATATTGTATTTCTCCAAGAACATGAGGAAAATTGGGAATTGGTGGAAGAAATAATTGTCTTCCTCCAAGAACAAGAATCAGATGTTGGTTTTGCGGAAGATGATCCAATCAACTTCCGTCAAGCCATGGAAAGTTCTAACTCTCAAGAATGGATTAATGCCATGAAAGATGAGATGAAGTCTATGAGTGACAATGACGTTTGGGAGTTAGTCTCATTGCCTGAAGGTATTAAACCCATTGGTTGTAAATGGATATTTAAAATCAAGAGGGATTCAAAGGGCAATGTTACAAGGTTTAAAGCTCGTCTTGTTGCTAAAGGCTACACTCAAAAGAAAGGAATTGACTATAAAGAGACTTTCTCTCTGGTATCCTCGAAAGACTCTTTTAGAACAATAATGGCATTAGTGACACATTTTGATCTTGAGCTTCATCAGATGGATGTAAAAACTGCATTTCTCAATGGTGACATTGAGGAATCAATCTATATGGAGCAACCAGAAAACTTTGTTTCGGGAGATTCAAAGAAAATGGTTTGCAAATTAAAGAAATCCATCTATGGGCTCAAACAGGCTTCTCGTCAGTGGTATCACAAGTTTCATAAAGTCATTA